AACCACATGACAACGAACATAATCACACAATTGAGAATAAACCCCGGGATGCCGAAACAGAGCGCCTTTTTGCGACCAAATCGGTCCGCGAGAAGACCGTATGGCGCAGCCAAGAAAACACCTAAAAGGATCAGCTTAGTTTCAAACAAAAAAGAGAAAAGAAAGAAAAATATGGTGAAACGCACTCAAAACGCCCTCGAAGAACTCCATATACCCCTTCACAGCAGCGACCTCGCTCTGGACTTCCTTGCCCTTACACAGCTCCTCCGCGACTTGGCCATCGGGACCGATCTTGGTCGGATCAAACTCGGAAAAATGCTCACGACAGGCAATCGCTTCGTAAATGCGGGTCATTGGGCCGCCGGCCATTACGAAGCCAACTTCAACGGCTAGAACAATTGCGAGGAGCGTAACCATGAGTCGCGAGCGGATGGCGCCGTTGATAACCACGCCTCCTTTCTCCCCATAGTGAACAGAGGAGTGCGAGTGGCCGCGGGCGTGGCCACTACGCTCACCATCTTGCTGGGACAGAAACGGAGCGTTTTCTTCGTCGCGGTCATTGTTGTCCCGGTATGGGTGGTGCTGGTGCTGATAATCAGACGACATGGTTTCTGTCCATTGAATATCCCCGCCGCTTTGTTGATAAGAATAGAATCGGTTAGATGTTTATATATACGGTCGCCTCACATGAGGGAGAGAAAGGGTAAAAGAGAGGAGATTGAAAGGTCCATTGAAGCCCAGGGGACAGACGGTCTGGTGGAAGACAGTGACACAGGAGGCCTGAAATAAGGGCCACGCAAGGACGAAAGTCGGGGGCGTGGCTGAATTCCCTGCGGAGCGACCGGAGGTGCAGGAGTGCAGCGTCAGATCGAGAGTTGGCTTGGGCGAGGAGCACTTATATGCAGAGCGATGAGCATCCGGAGTTCGGAGCAGCACCAATAATTAAAACGACACAGTTAGTGCCAATCAAGCTGAGGACACTCAGGACAGACTTATTGGGCGTTCGCAATCTCAGCCATCAGATGGGGGCGAGTGGTCCCGCCATTGGCTGCTAATTAAAGATGATTCAGTTGCTGTGCTGATGCTTGTAACAAGGCAACTGAAGAACAAAGCACTGGAGCAGGACGTCCTGTCAGTCACAATGATGGACAATGGCACAGGGGTTGCAGCGCTGTCAAGTCTCAAGTAGACTATGAAGAATAAACTTGCGGGAGTGGATTCAAGGCCCATTGAGTGCTGCCCATCGTTGCCCCTTTTCTTTCTTCTCCACCGAACAGACTGCGGCCACTGAAACTGCTTACTGCACTGCCTGCAGATGATTATTGGGGCCGACTATTTATTCTGGCAGCCTTCTTCGATCTCCACTTATTGGAACAGGCTGAAGATTAAACTACATACTGGTAAACTCTTCATCATACTGGCTCACCATGTCCAGACACTCTCGTGCCCCCTACGTCGTTGACAGGATCCTGGACGCGCTGTATGAATTTCTATGCAAGATCCACAAGCTGCCTTCGCGGCTACTTGATGATGACGTCCTGGATAGCATACTCGACAGGTTCTTCAACATGCTTCTAAACAAGTCCCACGAGAGGTTGGTCGAGAGGCTTCTGGGCGATGTGCTGAATGGCATGGTCAACAACCTTCCGACTAGATGAGACAAGGAAGAGTTGGAACTATTTGAATCAGGGAAAAATATAATAATTCCGTCTTCCGTTGGGTGGCTATCTGGAAATTTGTGTGAATTTCGTCCTTGTATTGTCCTGGTTTGCTTGTTTTACCTTAGTGATATGTACGTATGTATAAACTCGGCTATGATACAGTATGGCAAACTATGTAGCCTACTTCTGAAAGCTTCTAATCTCTTCTAAAAGCAAGGCGCCGCATTTGGTCCAGCCACGAACGCCAAATCACACAACCACAGCTCACAGGTCACCAGCCTGCGGGGCCAAGCCGAGATCCTGGAAGCCGGCTTCATCAAAGAGGGTGCCGCGGGTCTGGACCACTGCCGAAATCTCCAAGAGGAACTCGTACAGAATTACGACGTTGGTGAGGACGTGGCCGAGACTTGCGGTTTCGTCCTTCGGGTTCTGCCCATCATCGACTGCATTTGTGCTCGTATCAGGCGCCGCTTGGCCTGATTCGGCTGTTTCTTGCGCGCCATCTTCAATAGGCGAGTCGGATTTGGTAGGCGTTTCGCTCTTGGGGAAAAACGGCGTGGCCAATCGCTTGCGCAGTCCCTCGGCTACAGCAGAGCGGTCCTCAGAGTCATTCGGCGGAGGAGGCGTGTGGAATGTTGTAGGTTCTCGTAGCGGGGACCCGACAATACTGCGCTGCGGAGACGTGATGTTTCGTAGGTCACGTCGGCCACGCGGTGTTCCTGGCTCGGAGCCCAATTGCGGCTTACGCGGTGTACTTAACGAGTTTCGGTCTGCGGAAAAGATTGTAGTAGAGGTGGCTGGAATCTGTTCGGTATTGCTAGGCGACTCTTCTGCTTCGTGCAACAAGTCTCGACGTGCGGCTACTAGGATATCGAAGTCCGGAACTTGCCTTCGCCATTCTTGTACTTTCTCAACAAGTCGCAGTAGAACGCTGGTAAGGGCAGGCGCATCGGCAGAGGACCAGGATGGCATCTGGTAAACTGAGTGTACCTGATCGAGAATGTCGGTCATATCGTCCGTCTTCAATGCACCCTCAGTCCTGCTATAGCTGTACTTTGTAGGGTCCACAAGTAACCATCCGTCGAGTGCCATAAGGTTCGACGATGCAATGCTCATGAGAACTTCCGTCAAGGCCAAGTTCACAATCACCGTATTAGTAAAAAATGTCTCTAGGCAGTCTAACAGCTCGCCGACGATCAGATCATCCTGGCGAATCTCAAGAGGGACCACTTCTCCCGGGCCAGTACCGGGAGGGGGGAAGTAAAGCCGTGATTCAAGCATCCACGAAGCGTCTTTCAGATAATTTTCAAAGGATTCATCCAACGTTGGCTCATCCATGATCGATGTGGCCATTGTCAGGAGTTGCTCTAGCTCCGCATTCAGTGCGCCAACGGTTCGTTGCTTGGCGGGTTGCCCGGGAATAGTTCGGATCAAGAATCGCGCAAAGGAAGAATGTCGCTGCAGAATGACAGTCAACAGGCGCAATGTTGCTAGGATAGTCGGACGGTTCGTAGACCGTAAGCCAAGGAGGGCGAGGTCTCTCAAGTTGAAAAGGGATGGTGATGGACGAGCCGCCTCCTCCGAAAACGCAGCGAGCACATCGAGAGATTTTCGCCGACTAGCGGACATGTTCTTTTTCTTCTCAGCGATTTGTGCGTCCGAATCAGAGGTCGACGCGAGCAGAAAATGAAGAATCCGCTGGACCAGGTCTTCCTGATCCACCGAAGCGAGGATACGGTAAAGGTAAGTGAGGACTGCAGCTGTAGAGCCGCCTTCGACATCAGATGATTCTAACAATGAGGGATACCTATTCGGTCATAAGTAGCCGCACATGGAATGAATTTTCGAGAACTCACAGTAGTTGTTCTAGGAACAAAACCTGGAAGTGATCCAACAAGGTTGCAACCACCTCGGGCGATTTGCAATGATCAATTGTATCTTGCCAGAACAAGAGGTAGGCCATGAAGGAATCCATCGACAGGCCAAGCGCAGGAGGGAGCGCCGTCTCCTGCTGCGCGTGGTCTGAGTGTGAAATGATATGCGGTACGTCGGAGTCTTCCTCAAGACCAGACGTTAAGCTGCGCGGAAAATGTTAGTTCGTCTTCAATCTGATGGATCAACATGAGTACTCACTTGCCCAGCTGGCTGTACAAGGCACCTAATCCGGTGGCCATTAATGTCGCCAGGTCACTTTCAATCAACCATCGCTCCAGATCCTTTGACCGCGATGCCGTCTCTATCAAATAGAGGAGTCCGGTTCGAGCGAAATCACCCGCCCTTCCCGCATGATGTACATATTCCACCAGCACATAGAACAACGGGAAATCGTCCGTCCTCATGGTACCCGCAAACTCAACATTACTAGTGCTCTGATCATCGTCATCCGATCGGGGAGCAAACCACGCGGGAAGAATGTTAGGTTGAAGACGAATGTTGTTCGCGACGCCAAACAGCAATTCCACGAGCCGCCCTTCAATATCCTCTGACTTCTTATCCGCCCGACGAACCAAATCTACCAAGGCGCGCGCGAATAGCCGGTTATCGACAACACCGTCAACCTCCGAATCTATCAGAGTATTAAAGAGGAGCGTCGCTGAACGAAGCATAGCTTCATCGTAAGACGAGAGCGCAAGTTTGGTAACGGTCACAAAGATCTGAGAGGACGAGGCATAGGCGAGACATGGATGAGGCGCGGGGCCACGAGATTCATCGCCTAGGACAGAATTGAGGCGGTCGATGCAATTGCGCGCGTGTACAATGGCTGCTTGTTCCGCAACTGCTGCATTGCTGGAGCGCCATATTTGCTAATGAGGGGCAGATAATGTTAGGAACTTGGCGAACGACGCGCATGTGGATTCTGGCGACTGACCTGCAGTGTGTTACACGTCCGTTTAAAAGATGTAAGTCGCTCCGTGGGGGAAGCAGACCGCGGGCTCTTTGGCAATGAGCGGGAGCCGCCTATTATTCGAGACCACTATCGTTTTGATTAGGAGAAGCACAATAGGGGGAGCGCGGCGCGTGCAGGTCGGGTGAGGGCGTATCCAACATACAAAGTCCATTTTTCTGTAACCGGCGCATGATACTCCTCCGCAGGAAGAAGTATGAGCAGGGAGTTGACTGCTGGGCGAGAGATAAGAGGGAGAGGAGTGGAAGTACTCCGTCGATATGCGGCCTGATGTCCCTGAATCCGAAAGAAGCATAGCGTACTATTTCCTACTTTGGACTAGCGCGCCTACATTGTCCTCTGTACTGCAGAGTACGGGTCACTGATTTCCACACTACGTAGAAGGGGGATCAAGAGATGAAGTTGAAAGCCTGGCTGTGGCCTCGAAATCAGATAAATAATAAACAAGATTAAAGCCCTATTCACATCGAGGGTGCACGCCGGACCACCTCCACAACGCCGAAAGTATTTGCGCACCATCCCGGTCTAAACACAAAAGAAACGCTACCCATCATCCCAAATAAAAACACGAAGAAACAGAATGATTAATGATTGCAAGAATTCAATCGCTATCATCCTTTGGACGCCGACCGCCACGTTTCCGTTTCGGTTGCTCGTTTTGATCGCTTCCATCGTCCTCGTGCTTTCGCCCGGTCGGTTGATCTGGGACCTTGGCGATGATCTCTGCCAGGAAATCTAATACTTCATCCTTCGAAACCGCTTGCTTGAGATGCGACGCGGTCACGCGTTTCGAATTCCGGTCTTTGGCTTCTTTGGCCGCTTTTGTGACAAGTGAGATCATGAAAAGTTCGAGTGCTTTGGCTATGCAGCATGTTAGCATCGTTTCTCAACTAATAGGAGTTGTTAAATACGTACAGACAGCAATAGGCGTCACTTGCGCGACCTTGCCTACATCTTCATCGGCCTGCATGATGCGCTTGATGCGCGCAACCGGAAATTTGGTCTTAACCTCAATACTTGCAGCTGGGTCTACCTTGGGAGGCTCTAGGGGTTCTAAAGGCTCTAGCGGCCCCGCGGGCTCTTGTGGCTCCTCTGGAGAAACGGGCTCCATGTACTTTGGCTCTGGTACCGGCGCGACGTCAAGTGAACGCGCCAAACGAGAGGATCGGCGAGCCATTTCGGACTCGTAACTGTTATCAGCGAAGGGAGGGACGTATTGCTGGCTTGCCCTCGTCGACGCGACTGGTGGTTGTTGGTATTGCGGGGTGAAGAAGGGTGAGGCGTCGTAAGAAGCGCGGTGGGAGAGGTGGCCCGGGAATTGGTAAACGGGTTGGGAGGGAATGGTGGGCTGGAAGGTGGAGAAGTCGGGAGAACGGGGTCGATAAGAATTGTCTTGCTCTGTCATTGCTGGCAAAATCGGATCTCAGCAATTGTTGACAACGATGATTATAAAGTCGTATCAACCACAGGGTTGATACTTGATAGACTTTGTATGTATATGGAGTATACGGCGCGTCGAGGGACGGACGGGCGTAGAGCAGCAACGAGTGCGTGCCCAGAGTGGGAAAGAGGAAATGGCGCAATTACCTCTGCTGCGAGATCTTCTGGAATCGTAAACTGATCCAAATGGAATCAAGGCGGCTGTGATATCAAGTCGTGATGCAGTACTGCGTAGATCGTTGTTGATGGCCCAAGCTCCGGTGCGTGGGCCCAAGGCGGTCGGGGACGTGGCAGTGAGCCAGAAAAGAGATTCGAATTCTTTCCTCCGGGGGGAGCGGGCGGACCTTTTTAGCCCTTTTAACCCTGCCTTGCCGCGCTAATTTTAAACAAAAATCAGCAAAATCAAAATCACTTTTCGGTTTTTGGTCGAATTCCTTGGTGAACCCTGCTTACTTAATTTCCTCCTTTCTTTTTCAGTCGCTTCGTCTTCTTTTATACCAACACTCCTCGACCTTGTCTCTCTCTCCGACTCTCAACTCCAGCCTGTTTAATCTGCAGCCTGCTCTCACCCACATCACGTGGCACTGTCGTAATGACTCTTACCTTAGCACTGTACTGACGTCGCCACTGCAACCAAACAGTCATCCCTGGTGGACACAGCCCTCATTGGCCTTCTGGCGCGTGATCCTGCCTCTGTTGTTCGTTGATGATGCAAATTAACCTTAACTTATCTCTTACGGAGTGTGTTTTATTTATGATTATTGATTATTGATACTTGTTTGCTATTTGTTTGCTGTTTACTCGTCCCTGTGAACACCTCCATGCCCCGGACGCTACATGATGATACACAGAGCCTCGAGATGTAGAGGACTCGCTGTGCCAGGCTGAAACCTCCACGTCATTGCGGCGGGTATCGCCTGCCACAGGAATCCGTCTTACTGCCCTTTGGCATCTACACCGTGAGGGACCAAAATTACTTGATCTAATCTGATATCGCGTCCTCGATCCCATTCTCAACATAAATGCCCTAAACATGGATATAACGCACTACTAGGCTTAGCGGGGCAAATGAGAGAGAAGGCTGGGAGCCTCGTCGGCAGTCGATGTCACTCTGACATGCACGTTCCCAGGCCTCAATGCTTCGAGCCCCTTCCAGTCAACCTTGCGTCGGAGCCTTGCAGAGCAAGGGTCTAGGCATCCAAGTAACGTAGCTGTTCTCGTCAAAACAAGCTCCTTGTGAGACGTAACCGAGTTAGTGTCAGCCAAAGTGAAGGGTGGGTGCAAGTTCTTCCGGCTCCGGTCTCCGCCTCCACTCCGACGGCTGTTGCGACAGAGATTCTCCTCAGGCACGTCAAGTCCTACCGCCGCCCATTCTCGTGTGACCAGTTGGAGATTGGACTGATGGTCGATTGAAGTCATGTCGCCCTCGTTCGCCTGCTCGGCCACCCTCCCCTTGTCATAAACATAAATATAATTCTCGAGTCGAGTCCGCTTGCTTGCTGTGCACGTGTAGCTTATCTTCGCCATGGCTGCGGCTCTTCAGCCTTCGGGCTTGATGGACATTGCCTCGTGAGTTACTGCCATGATAATATGTTTTGTGCGCCGAGTGCTAACACATCTCATTTATCCTTCAGCTCCTTGAGTCAAGATGATATACCGTTCAAATTGCGCTGCGCCATCTGCAACAAGCTGGCTGTAAACGCCTTTCGCCTTCCCTGCTGCGATCAAGCAATTTGTGAAAATTGTAAGCATTTTACAACCAAACCTGGCCATAATAATCTGTCCTGGCTCTTACAAAACTTGCAGGCCAGGCATCCCTTCCGGATACATGTCCCGTATGCGCGCATACCCCACTCTCCTCCGACCTCTGCAAACCAAACAAAGCCCTCCGAACAACCCTCAAAGCGTTCCTCCGTACGGAAGAAAAGAAACGCGAGAAAGAGCGACAAGCGTCATTACCTGCTACTCCCGATGCTGCACCCTCAGAAGAGACCGCCCCCAGACAAGATACTCAGCAAGAGTCGAGGACTACTGAGACTCCAGCGGGTGGAGCAGCATTGCCGAATCAAACGGAGGATTCATCTACAGCGCAGTCTGTTGATAATGCAACTCCTGCTGTCGTCGAATCCAAAGCGCCCGATGCGGAACAAGAAGGGACGAACGGCATAACTCAGGTACTAGATTCTACCACACATATCAATCTAGGGTGGAGGGCTAATTGGTACTCACAGGATGAACTCACTGAGCAGGCCGGTCCTGACGCAACGAATGAAACGCATGATGCAGAGCAGGATGAGACCGCTGAAGGAGATAACGCCGGTGATAGCGAGTCCGCTCTAAAAGCTGAGCAAGAAAAAGCCCAGGACTCTGTTCCCGACGCTAGTTTCCAAAACGCCATGGGATTCAATATGAACTCCGCAATGTTTCCGAACATGGCATGGGGTGCAAATCCGATGGCTCAGTTTATGGGCAACGGAATGATGGGCTTCCCCAACCCTATGGGTACGTTATCACACTTTACTATCGACCTGGAAAGCATAGAACTAACGAACGTGTACAGGAATGGCGGGAATGGGCATGGACCCGATGGCCGCGAGTCAGGGCATGTTTGGGGGCTACGGAATGAACATGAATGGCATGAGCAATGGCATGAATATGGGAATGAATTTCAACGCTGGTCAGGGGATGTACGGTGGTTGGGACGGCTCTCAAAACAATATGTGGAATGGAGGCGAAGATAAATTCAATCCAAATGCTTTCGCGAATGGTATGGGCGCGCAATTTGGGGATCCCTCTGGATTTGGCGGATATAATATGTCTCAATCCAACGGAGTTCATCCTCAAATGCAGCAACAGCAGTTTTCTAGCCAAGATTTCCAGAATGGCTACAATGGCCCTGGTAATTATCGTGGTCGCGGTCGTGGGTACTACTCCGGTGGCCGCGGCCGCGGCGGCTACAGTGGCCATATGCATTCTAATTTCCCTCATAATGCTAACGCACCAGCCCAAGATAATGCATATTCTAGCATGGAGCAGAGCATGGAGCCCCAGCCTGAGGAAGGCGCAGTGGGTGCAGCGGCTTCTGGGGAAACAGGAAAGAACGCAGATGAGGGTCCAAACCCAGCGGCTGACCCAAGTTCCACCAAAGATTTAGCATCAGGAGATTTGAACGATGCGCCGAATGGTGCTGGCCTGGAAACGCCTCGTGGAGCTCCTGACCAAGTCGCAAACACCGATGAACATCAGTTACAAGGTATCCCTACAATTGACAGTCTTGATCAAACCAATAGTGCCGGTGGCATCGGCGTACCTACTCATATGAATCAAGGCTTTGGTAGAGGCGGTGGTTATATTCGTGGAGGCTTCCATGGTCGTGGCAGTAGCTTCGGTGGACAGCAGTTTATGCCAGGGAATACCGTGCCCCCGCGAGGGCCGGGTGTTGAAGGTGCTCCAGCTGCACCTAGAGCAATGAGACAAGGGCTCCCTAATACCAGCGTCTTTCGTCAGAGGAATTTCCAGCCAGCTGGGCGTGCGTCGATACCAGCAGAACGAAGCGCTAATGCCTCCGAAACGTAAGTCCCTTTCTCATATCACGTATCCTGTATCATAACCTAACAGGATATTTCGCAGGCCACATTCAGAGGCAGTTCAGGAAGATCAGCATCCTCAATCGACAACCCGGTCTGTCTCAAGAGCAAGATCAAGATCAAGAAGCAGAACGCGGTCTCCCTCTCGCTCCCGATCGAACAGTCGTCGATACCGTCAGCGATCTCGTAGTATTGAGAATGACAAGGTCACACATGATCGGCCACGATCACGACATAGAAAACATTACGAGGAGAAAGACAGGGTTGGAGGAGAAGATGGTCAACGCACCCGATCGCCCTCTGTCGAATCCCATCGGTCATCCCGGTACAGGGAGAAATCCAAGCGTTCTCATCGGTCCCGTCGGTCCCAGCGTCATCGCAGCCGCAGTCGGAGCGCAAGCCCTGCTCGTAATGGTGATAGCCGAGATGATGACCGCCTCGCACCCATTGAGGAAGAGAGGGGTAGCTCCAAATCTCGTAGTAGAAACGCCGGTGCTCCAGAAAGTTCGAGTTACTCTCGTCGATCCGGAAAGGATCGCTCAAGTCGACGTGAAGAGGACCGAGAAAGAGATAGGGAAGTGCGTCGACGTGACCGCGATCGAGAGCGTGATCGAGAGCGTGACCGTGACCGTGACCGTGACCGATACCGAGAAAAGGAGAGAGAACGCGACAGAGAGCGAGATCGTCCTCGTGAACGAGAAAAAGATCGGAAGCGATCTCGACGAGATCGGTCTGAATCAGCGATCGATAGTGATTACCACTCTAGGAAGATCAAGCGTAGCCGCGAAGATGATATTCGCGGCTCAGGCAGTAACAGAGACCGTCCGAGAGACTCGAGGGAAAAGGCGGTGCCGTCCTCGAAACCATCTGAACCCGAGAAAGACCCCCATACTCTAGAACGTGAAGCTCGAAATCGTGAACGTTTGCTCAAAGAGCAGCAACGCCGTGAAGCAATGCAAGCTGACCGGGACACCACCAGCAAACCCAGCCGCCGCCGAGACAGTCGTCAGGAACGAGGCGGGCGTCGACTTAACTACAAATACGATGATGAGAGTGATGACGCCAGGGCCGCAAGAGTAGAAAGAGAACGAGAAGCGAGCCGATGGGATTAAGACTTGCACAACATTTTTCCTACCACCATATCTTTATACATGGAAACCCCGAAGTGTATCAAAAGTTAGCAGATAGATGAGGCGTTTACTCGTTACGACAGATGATGGCCCGGGCCCAGTTCTTGCATAGAAAAGGCGAGAATCTACCTTGTGTCTAATGAGTTACAATGGGAACTTAAATATCCAATACACTCTTGAAAAGTATATACTCCGTGAAGTAGGACATACTTCAGTAAACGAGAAGCGTAAAGCCAATAAGTAGGTATCCACATTGCTATCATGCTGTAAGCTAAGCTAAGCTATACAAAAAGAAACGACGAGATCAGTGCATCACATCTACTAACATAACAATGACAGAACCAGACCAGATAGACAAACAAACAGACAGCTATGAACAGGGCTGAAGGGTAAGGGGAAACGAGAGACTCGTCCTGAATATCCTTTCTTTCTATCTTTCCAACTGAATTGAAGGGTACGTCAACTACACGCTAGCTAGAGCACAGCAACCAGGATTGGGAAATCCCGCGAGGCACACAAGAGAGGCAGGCAAGTAAGTAAGCAGAGTAAGATAAAAATTCGGACCAGGAGTGGGAGAGGTTTGGGTGTAATGTGTATGCGTGGTAGAGTACAAGAGCAATAAGGATGGAGGCTAGCCCAGCTGAGCCTTGAGGGATTCGATCTCGGTAGTGAGTTTCGACACTTGCTGTGCCTGTGATGCGATGGTCTTGGTTTGCTCCGCAATAAGGTCCTTGATGGCACTGATTTCGCGCTGGACAGTGTCAGTTGGGACGGATCCAGTGGTGCTTGACGGGGCTGAGGGCTGGGTGCTTGGAGTAGTCGGCACAGGGGAGCGGTCGCCAGTCGTAGGTGAGGCCTGAAATGACGAGTTAGTAAAATCTACGATATAGCTGTTCAAAGTATAATATGAATAGCTTACCGTGGTAGGGGACTGTGCTTTGATCGGATCTTCCTTTTGTACGAACGGGCTAGCCTTGACCGATGGTGAGGAAGTTCCGGGGGAACGAGTAGACCGTTCGACTGGCTTCGAGGGCTCATCAAAGCTTGACTCCTCCACTTTTTCGGGCTCCTCGTCATCCGCGAACTTGTTCACCATAGCAGCCATAGATGCGCCCTGGTCCTTCATGGACGGTGCTGGCTTGGCCACTGGTGTTGGCTCGGAGACAGGCTCAGGCGCCTTCTTGACTGGAGAGGCGGGCTTGGCCTCTGGCTCGCGCTTGGGCTCGGGCTTAGGTTCGGTACTCAAGCTAGAGGTGGGCTTGTCCTGGATACCGGTAACCTCCTTCAAACCTTGGCCATCGTAGAGACTGCCCATGGATATCTTAGGTGGGATGGCCTCCTTGCCGGAGAACCATTCTGAGGCATTCATGGCGGGTGTCACGCCAATGGTAGGTGGGTAAATATCGTCCTGGAATGTTTCGGCTCGACGAGGAACAATGAAAGAAATCGGCTCGATGTAGGTATCGTTAACGGTCTTGAAGGCGCGGGTAACCTCGTTGTCGTGCATGTCCACACCACGCTTAGGCATGAATGCAATACCTCGCTGGGGGTCCGCAGACTTATATTCCGATAGGTACTCAAATTTGTCGTTCTCCAGCTCGTAGTATCGAATGTTGCCATCACTATAGTCATTAGCAATCTACATCTAAAATCCGCGCATACGAACTTACCCTCTACCAGCCAGGTACAGGCACTGGGTACCGTCGTCCCAGAACGGCATGCACACACCAGAGATAGAGTCGAGGGTCTTGAAGCCATCAATGGGCAGTTGGGGGGATCGCATATCCCAGAGAGCCAGCTGGCGGTCACTCATCTTGGAGAAACCGGTGGTTGCAAACCTGTCACGTTCACCCAGCCATACTGAACGGCTGTTCTTGGCCCCTGTGTGCCCCGGACCCTCATGTGCAGGCCGTTCTTGACGGACATCCCATACGCGCAGCTTCTTGTCACGGGAGGTGGTAACGAGAAGAGAACCGTTCGCGCTCCAGGATTGCGATTGCACAATATCACCCACATTCAGCGTCAGCTTGGATGCGCCAGCCTCAATATCCCAGATTTTCACAGTATAGTCTCCGGATGCCGTCGCGAGGATGTTTTCGGCCGCGGGGTTAAAGAGCACGTGGCCTACCTTTCTGTCGTAGGTGTGAGAATGTTAATCGCAAACAGGCTTAATGTATAGGTACTTACTTCGGGTGACCGCTAAGTTTTCCAACAGGCGCGATGTCTTGAATATCATCGGAGTCTACGTCGGGGTTGACCGTGAACCCCTCAGGAACTCGCCAAAGGTAGACCTATGGACCGTTTAGTCTGGCTGGGCATTCCACGAAAGTGATTCAAACTAGAGGTGCACATACTCTGCCATCATCGGATCCAGAAGCAATTAAGTCGTCGTTGAAAGGATTCCTGCACATGTTGGCCTGTGTTGACCATTGCGACAAAGGGTGGTAATGGATCCTGCTTACCAGTCCGTATCTAGAACAACTGCGGTGTGCCCACGAAACAAAGGTATCCGCTCGGGAAGTCTGCCTCGCTCGCTGAGAGGAACTACGGCAAAGGCACCTCCACCACCGGCTTCCCAGTTGACGGAGAGATAACGGGGGTTGACCTGACGGTTTGTTAGGCGGCTGAGAGCGGCGGGCGATTGAAGAGCGGTGACGATCACGAACCTTCACCAGGTTGGTATCCCAGGCATTGCGGGAAACACGGAGGTTATCATAGCATTGATCCTGCGCAATTGTAAGCCTTGTTAAACTCCTGTGACGTGGACTGAGGGGGTTGTGTCGTACCTTTCGTGTTGGTCGTCCGAAGACGTGGCCTTGCTACCTGTCAGATCGCGGGCAGCGCGAGGGGGAGGGAAACAAGCTTACGGTACTTGGATGAGCGCACGAAACGGCCAGACATAGTGCTGGGTATAAGAAGAACCAAAAAGCAGGTTCAACGAGAATCCAATGAAGAAAGGGAGGAGAAGTGAAACTGGGGGGGTGAAAGGGAGGAGCCCAGAAAGCAGTTCGAGGGCGATAAGTAACTTGGAACAATTAAGAATAGAAACGGTGGTAATTACTGGGGCGCCGGGGGAGCTTGAATTCGGTCCAAGTTGAGCACCACCGCATTGAAACAGTTCGAGGGCAACAGTGTTTCAGCCGGTCAAGCAGAGATGGAGCGATAGGCTAGGGCCACAATATTCAAGTAAAAAGGAAGTAAATTAATGAAGATCATCGAGTATGAAGTTGACTCTGTTGCGCATGAAGCCCTTGAAACGTTGAAACGTTGTGACTCCATTACCGCTAGTCCCAGGATGGTATAGCGCGGCCCCGCTGGAAGATGGCTCAGTCAGCTGAATTTGTTTACCGCCCTCCGTCGCTCCAGAAACCAGAAACTAAAAGCAGTTCACCAACAATCAATCACTCGTCCACCCATTCGATATCAATCAACCCACTTTGTCGATAGATACTCCGCCAACTGACAACGCAGCTCGGCTGCCGACACGCTGCAGGTCGCTCATTGATTTGTTTATTGTCGTCCTTGCATCCTTGACTTCCCCATCCATTCACATAGTTTTGTTGTCTGCGAGGAGACTGGTATCATGGAGAACGGAAGCCCGGTACTTGACTGCCATTGAAACCCCAGACGAGGCGTGTCCGTCCTAATATGAATACCAGGTACAGTCGAGAATACAGGGATCGCGCATCCCTGGGCTCAAGGAGATGAACCCGTCCGGAACGAACTCTCGCTCGAGGTTGCCGCAACCAGGCGCAATTGCGAACAAGCCCACCGCGGTGCCGCGTAGGTATCCCGAACAACTCAAGCCGAGTATGAATTTAACATGACAGGTAAAGAACCCTCTCGTACGAGAAGTACCACCGAGAGCGCGAGAGCAGGCGCAGGCACGCCGTCCGCATCGAGATCCGTTAATGGAACGACAAAGGCTCACGGCCGCGCAAACTCCTACGCCTCATCCACCTTGACCCGGTCGGCTTCAGCGGCCTCACGATCCAGGGGTCCGCATTCTTCGTCAACCATGGGGCGCCCCAATTCCTCCATGAGCACCTCCCGCAGACCGAACGGACACTCGATTCCCCGTCCCGCAACGTCCTTGGATACCCATGAAGAAGAAAACTCCCGCAGAGTACTTGGCAAACGTAAGGGTATGCACACCTCATATTTCTTGTTATCCCCGCCTACCCCCCCTGCCCCACTGTTTCCGTCATGGCAAGCCGGTCTTGGTTCTCAGAGGGAAGCACGCGCCGCTCTGTCTCCTCTTCTGGAACCCTGTTTGGAGCCCTCTCCTGACGAGAATTCAATATGCACATCCATGAAGAACTTGAGTTTGGGCCCATTCCCTTGCGATATCACGAGTTCTAACATGTTTCCCAAACATGACAGAGCCCCAATTTTTACCCCGTCAAAAATACCCGTCCCCAAGCCTACCATGTTCACCCACCCCAGCCCTCAGTTCCCTAACCACTCACCCAAAAAGAAGCGGGCACCATCACCTGGATTCTTGAACAAAGAAACCAAGATCAAGGGATTTAACTTTTCTACAGGCGGCGAGTGGGATCAAGACGCACGGGAACAGAACATGGAGTATCTCTTGAGCAGTTTCGTGTCTCAATTGAACCAACATGGCCAAGCGAGTTCAGGCCTCAAGGAGGCAGTCGAGGTGTACAAACTAAGAGGTAAGCAAGCCACTCACCTGATCAGATACAGGGCTTACATACCTTGAACTACAGTTGGCGAATTGGAAGAATCAAAGAAGGAGCTGACCGAGCGAAACCTGGAGCTCCGTGTGGAAGTCGAATCTATCAAATCACGTATCGGAGCGGTGGAGGATACCTTCAAACACGCCCAGCGTGAGCATGAAATTGCAGTGGAAGAGCTTATCTCCCGTCAGCGCACCGAACTTGAGACGGCTAGATATGATGGCCAGAGGCAGCTGGATATGCTCAAGGCACATCACGAATCCGAGATTCGTGAGCTAAATCGGCGTTTTGAGCATGAGTTGAATGACGAGAAGTCCAATCGTCTTCGCGAGATGAACCAGATCCACTCGCAGACCGCGCTTGATGCCCAACTATCACAGATCGAGCTTGACAAGAAGGTGAAGGAACTTTCCTCCGCCCAAGATGATCTCCAAGCCTTGCGAGCCGAGCTTGAGCGGGAACGAAGGAATACCAACAATCTCCGACAGAACTTGGATACAAGCAGCGCCAACAGCGTAACCTTGGAGTCAACTATTAGTGCGCTGAAGGCGCGAATCGAGTTCTTGGAATCCGGAAGGGAGGAGCAATCCGAGGCCTTTGAGCGATTGAACCAGCAAATGATGGATGCTGCGGCCGAAACCAATGCCGCCAAAGAAAAACTCAGAAGAGAAGAAACATTAAGGCGGAAATTACACAACCAGGTGCAGGAACTCAAGGGCAACATCAGGGTTTTCTGCCGCGTTCGTCCCACTCTAGGGATCGAAGATGTATCGGAAGCAGCGCAGTTTACCTACCCGGACGATATGGAAGATTCCAAGGAGATCAATATCATCGGCCCGGAAGAGAAGAGCAGTCTTGGTGCTGTGACCAGAAAGAATCACAATTTCTCATATGACCACGTATTTGGCCCAGCAGCGCAGAATAGCGACGTCTTCGATGAAATCAGTCAGCTTGTGCAGAGCGCGCTGGATGGGTACAACGTTTGTATATTCTGCTATGGCCAAACCGGCAGTGGTAAGACTCACACCATGTCATCGTTGGATGGTATGATACCCAGGGCTGTGCACCAAATTTACGAGACGGCTACAAGCCTTGAGGAAAAGGGCTGGAGATATAAGATGGAAGGCAACTTCGTTGAAGTTTACAACGAGAACCTGAACGATCTACTGGGTAGAGCAGAAGAGTTGGACAAGAAGAAACTGGACATCCGCCACGACATGCAGAGAGGGAAGACTATTATCACCGACGTTACCACCGTCGAACTAGAATCCCCGGAGATGGTTGAGTCTATTCTCAAGAGAGCGGCCGCCAACCGCTCAGTGGCTGCTACGAAGGCTAACGAGCGCTCTTCTCGCTCCCACTCGGTCTTCATCCTCAAGCTGATCGGGGAGAATTACATTACCGGCGAGCGCAGTGAGGGAACCCTCAATCTGGTGGACTTGGCTGGGAGTGAGAGACTAAGCCACAGCGGTGCAACTGGAGAGAGGCTAAGAGAGACGCAAAACATCAACCGCAGCTTGAGTTGTCTGGGTGATGTGATTGCAGCTCTAGGACAAGGCAAGGAAGGGGGCCACATTCCCTACCGGAACAGCAAGGTATGACCCCCAAGTTCCAATCCCACGGAGCAAAAGAACGAAACTTAACATTTCCTACAGTTGACATATCTTCTTCAATTCTCGCTGGGCGGAAACTCGAAGACACTCATGTTTGTCATGGTCAGCCCACTACAAGCTCACCTGTCCGAGACCCTGACCAGTCTCAAATTCGCTACTAAGGTGCACAACACGCATATTGGGACCGCGAAACGACAGACCCGTGTTCGTGACACCTAGGTCACTATCCGACTCTTGCTTCCTATATGTTTGGCCGATATGATCCTGGCCCTTCTTCTGACGATACTGGTGTTTTGGGCGTTTGACTCTTTACTTCTGTTTTCTGCATCGTCAGCTCTTTTGGAGATATTTCCCCCCACTACTACCCCTATCATTTTCTGTTCATAGGTAAACCGAACATTTCGTTGGTTCTGTTTTGTACGGGTTGGTTTGGTGGAATGAGGATTTAGCATAATGATAGTTTTGAATTAAACTCAGTAAATGACTCAGGCACCACCGGTACCATTCTTTCTGATCAGATTACCTCTTCAGACCTTCCTCTTGGTTTATTGGTGCCCTGGTTATACTAAACCATGTCCGCGCCTATATGCGAGGGCCGGGATTTAATCTTATCGGTGCTTGGATTTTGTTTTTCTTCTATAACTAGTTCAACACGCAAATATATATAGTTATATCCTTTAAAAGTTTTTGCTTTCCACAGACTTTAATTAGTATGTATTTCACGTATTTCATCAAAATAAACTTGCCCAGCAGCCGAGGTCGAATGGGGATATAGTGCCTGCCGGGCTTGACAGTACTGTATAGAATGGGCACAGCTGCCTTGAGGCCCCAGGCAGGTAATTCTTCGAAGTGACATGCAGCGAAGAAGGGGCATATGCGGGGCGATAACAATTATTGGAGAAGATGGTAATAGATACGAGACGGGTTGCGCGACTGTCATTAGGCCCGATTCGGGGTATCTCCAAATGTCTTGACTAAAGCGCCGTCCTTCGTGTCCGTGTCACCTCGACAAGCATCCCATCCTGCTTCCCTGAGAACCACGCCCACAACGCAGTCTCAAGATGACCACCCCACGCCAGCCTCCCCCAGCATACACAGCTCCAAAGGACTCCACGGTCCATGGAACAACCCAGATTTATAGGAATATCTCCGAGACGGTATCCAACCCCTCCGCACGGGTTCTCGAGAGTTCATTTACCATCCGTCCCTGCTCGGCTCAGGCGTGGGTAGTGCCGGCCGGACATATCTGTCGCTTGACAACACCAAACGGACCCCAGGTGGGGGATCTCAATATTTGGAACGCCAAAAACCCCCGCGAGCGATTATGGGCTGCGCGCACGCGCCAAATTCACGCCTCGCATGTCTCCGTGGGTGATCGTCTCTGGTCGAACTTGCCGTATCTGCGGCCCCTTGTGACGATCACTGGCGACTCGCTTGCCGGTGGACAGCTGCATGAGGTACTAGATGTTGATGGGAAGCAGAAGGAGGGCAAGGGGTTTGGGACTTCGCGATGGGGAGGACGTGTCCATGACCTCCTGGGTACACGTTGTGATCCATATGGTACGGTCATTCGCGGCATCTTTCTTACATTATGTATGGACTGCGCTGATAATTTGGCTTTCCACAGTTAATCTACTGATGGGAGGGGAGCAATTCGACTTCCACTGTCACTCAAACCTTACTCGTGCTGTGTTACCGCTCGGCCTGACCGAGCTCGATGTTCACGACGTCCTCAATGTCTTTCAAGTAACAGGGTTGGATGAGAACGCAAAGTACTTCATGGAAACCTCACCGGCGAAGCCTGGCGAGTATTTTGAATTCTTCGCCGAGGTCGACGTGCTATGCGCTTTATCTGCTTGTCCTGGAGGTCTGTCAATCAGTCTTGTCGCTCTAATATATCCTCTGGCATGTACTAATTGTTGTTTTAACAGGCGACCTTTCGAACTGGGGCTGGGAAGCAAAGGAGGACGCTATGGGTGCAACCACGCGTCCTCTGGGAGTGGAAGTTTATAAGATCACTGAAACCAAAGCTTTGGAGGGATGGAAAGAGCCCGAGAGCCCGAGGTATACTGGGCTGCATGGGTTGAAAATGCCCCCACGCGAAGACGATGGATCCGGCTTGGTTGGGTTCTGAAGGGTGAAGACACACTGGCATCTTCTGAGGAGCCAGTCGATTCGGACTACATGCTCTTATCATTTGCCAGAGGCACTCCACAATTTTTAGTTGAAGTCTGTTGCTCAAAGTCAATGCTCTTGTCAACCCCTCACTGTATCAGAGTTCGGGTTGCGAGGGGTTCTCCGTGGCGTCCGCCATAACTACCAGAACCTTCCACCCACATGTAGATTGCTTAAAAGCGCCCAGGTACACAGTCGAGAAGACTGAGGATTAAAAATATCCAGTGCAACCTCGAAGTCGTCATTCTGCTGCGGGCGTGCTTGCCATATCACGTGCATGCCCCGCATTTGCTCCCAATGTACGTCATCTGCCACACGAGGCTCGAGCCGATCACGCCAGATGCCAGGGCTGGTTGTATGTGATGCTGAGATGCGACTGCGATGCGAGCGCATTGATTTTACAAACTGTAGATTCTAAGGACAGGGCAAGAAGTCGCAGAGCTTAAAATACATCCTTCAAATTGGCTAAGAGTGGCAGGTAAATATAGTGTTCTACAAAAGACGCACACCTAAAATAGAAGATACTGGGTAGTACGACTATCCATGTAGGCAACCGCTATGGGCCCCTGGTCTTTATCAGCAACTAGTTGCGGTAAATGGTGAAACCCCTTATCTAATTACGGCGGATTGCCTATTGAGTCACCCCTCCCCGGCAACGACAGGCTATATAAATCCGCGCTCCCGCCCTTCGGCTGGAGGACCCTCTAATCTACGATCCACCCTATCTTTCACCCAAGCATCACTCTCCCTCTGCCGCTACTCCCCCACTTGTTCTGCAATCAACCAAGATGCCTCTGTACAATGTTCGCAGCTCTTTCCTATGTTCATTTACGTGATATTGACCAACTCCAGGTTACCCTGAAGAAGGACTCCCCCCCTGAGGAGCTCGAGAAGTGAGTCTATCTATTCCTTCCATCCAATATATGCAAGCCGTGGCTAACGCCGAGTGTTCCACAACAGGGCCAAGAACACTGCTAAGGATAATGGTGGAACAATCAAGCACGAATATACCCTCATCAAGGGCTTCACGTAAGCCCGCCTTCCTCATCTTACAACCACCTCGGAATAAGGCCCAGCTGACCTTGAAAATACTTAGTGTTGAACACTCCGATGACCTTGTTGTTGCTTTCAAGTCGAGCCCACATATCCACGTTGAGGAGGACGCAGAGGTCAAGACCCAGTGACCGCGGACTTTGTTCGTGCGCTTCCTGGGTTTTTTGGCAATGACAAGCGATAGAGCAAGAGATACCGATACCTGGAGGATTTCTCCTTTTTCTTTTCTTTTCTTTCTTTCTTTTTTTTTAAGAAGTCGATGAAGAGATGTACGAGTTACGAATTTGATTTTTATCTCACGATAAGAGGATACATGGATTCGCCGAGGTCTTGTGAGCTGTACAAGTCTCAGTCCTTAGTGTACTACTTCGGTGTTGAGGCGTTCTTCCACTGGATAGTTTGCAAACTGAGAGACAGCAAGATAGAAAGAATCACTAGAAATCCATGTCGAGATGACGAAGGTAAAACTGCTCTGTTAAGAAAAGTATAGGCGGCGTGTTATGAGGGGCTGTGGTGGATGTCTCTCTTTCTGACGTATCTTATCGATGAGCAACACTAGCTGCGATAAGCATGAGCTTATTGCTCCAGTCGCTCAAGGATTGAAGCACCCTCTGCAATGCCGCCAAGGCAACAAAATATTTTTGAACATAACCAGAGAACGGAAATATTGTAGATACCTATTTTTGGGAATTGCGGCAAGGCGTTTGCTCAAACTCTCTGGGCCGCATAGTCGACAATCAGTCTATGGAGCGCTTGGCACGTGAGTCCGTGCTTCACCGCGGACAGCCAGGAATGATTCACCAACTTTTGCTCCTCAAACCACAACGCAGGATGGCTGATATTTGCTATGGCTACAACGATTCCTTTTCAGGCTCGGTCTGTAGGTTGTGGCATTCGAAACAGCATCCTTCGATACCGTAATCCCACCGCAGTGCGCTGCTTTACATTCTCACGCCATTCCCGGTTCGACACCCAGAGTCAACCGACACCCCGGGCGAATGATCAGGTTGCTCAGCTTGCTGCCAGTCGGCGGCATCCGCTGACACTTGCTGATTTGTTAAAGTGAGAATGGCAGTCCATATTTATTTCTTCTAGGTTGTAAATGCTAATGACAACTCCCTAGGCACGGTCGCCCGCCACTGTCGAAAGATGCCCTGCTTGCCTCCGCTAACTTCACCCTTTCTCTCCTCCCCGCACGCCTAGCCTCCCGTATTGAAGCTCTGCGGAATCTTCCGTTTATCGTCGTCGCAAACCCCCATGTATCAAAGATTTACGGCAACTACGTGCACTCATTGTCGACTTTACTCCCCTGGCAAAAGCGCCAGGTGACGAATCTGGAAGAGGAAAACCAATTCGCCGAGGTGCTTGCAGACCTTGTCCACACACACGCAAACACGATTCCGATTCTCGCCAGGGGGTTTCTCGAATGCCGAAGATATATAGACCCTGCGGAGGTAACCCGGTTTTTAGATACGCATTTGCGTGCTCGAATTGGCACGAGGTTAATCGCCGAGCAGCATCTAGCCCTCCATTTTGCGTCGCTGCCTGTTGGAGATGGCATGTCTGGGTCTCAAGAACCGAAAGAATCGCGGAAGAATACGATACCGTCTAATTATATTGGGGTTATTGATACTGCCCTGCAACCAGCTCGGATTGTAAGGACATGCGAGGAATTTGTGGGAGAGATCTGCGAGTTGAAGTACGGAGTGCGCCCACGATTGGAGATTGACGGGCAACCGGACGCCAGTTTTGCCCACGTTCCTGTACACGTGGAGTATATTCTCACCGAACTATTGAAGAATGCTTTCAGGGCGGTTATTGAGAGCGGAAACGAACGGGAGCCGATCGAGGTGACAATTGCGGCTGCACCGGACGTACCGAGCCGCCAAACTCACGAGCCAGTTACGAGGCCGGTAGAGGCCCAAGGCACCCAGTCCCACAGCGATGTTGGGTTCCATGTCGACACTGTCGTTGGCACCGCAGACGCAAACGAGTCCATAAAATTCTCAACGCCCTCGTCGCAGAGTATTACACTTCGAATCCGGGATAGGGGTGGCGGCATATCGCCGGAAGTTTTGCCGCAAGTTTGGTCATACAGCTTTACGACGTTCTCCGATTTGGACATGGGAGAGGGAGGCAGTAGTATAGACGCCCTGAACACGATATCGAACAATAGTGGCCAGCTGAGCAGTATCGCTGGGCTCGGATATGGGCTTCCACTTAGTAGAGCCTATGCGGAGTATTTTGGCGGCAGCATTGCCGTCCAGAGTCTCTGGGGCTGGGGGACTGATGTATACTTGACTTTGAATGGAGTGGGAAAGATTGCCTAAACTAGGCCTTACACATAAACATGGTACCTTTCTTTGGCAGTATATGTCCAGTGTTCGTAGCATGCCCTTTCTCCGATGTCGCGGAGGTATACCTAATCCCCGAAGTCGGCAGTCCCAACCACCGTCGCCATAGAGCGTAGACCATCACCCTCAACGACCACACTTAGTTAATGTGGGGAAGATGGATCCATCCAAGATGCACAACCCCGCAGCGGAATTCGTGCGACGCTCTGGTCAATCTTCGGCTGTACACTCGGAGATATGGCCGATTGATTGCTTTGTGATTACTTTATTAAGCACGTCTCGCTCGTCATGGCCGGCACTCATATACCCACTCTCCCCTCCCTTCAACACCATTGCTGGCCACTTGATCCTCTGTGCTTTGACTGGGCCTAGATACTCTATATCCATCGCAATGTATACGGCCCCTTCGATTGAGTTTAAAAGGTCTGAACTAATGCTCTACCTAGGGTCTACACAGCTTCATTTGCCTTTTTTGAGGCACTATGGGAGGTACTTCTTTTCTGACAAACTGCTACTCTCATAGTATTTCGCCGAATACTGACGGTTTTGCAGGCCGGCGTCACCCATTGCTTCGTCAATCTTGGCTCTGATCACCCCTCTATTCTCGAGGCCATGGTCAAAGGCCAGAAAGAGAAGCCGGATGAGTTCCCCAAGATTGTCACCTGCCCCAACGAGGTACGCCCGAGCTTTTGAGTGTCTGCCCTTTAACAAGGTGCAGGTGCATTATGCTTAGTAGCCGTTACTAATTACGCTCCCAACCCTGCAGATGGTGGCCCTATCGATGGCCGACGGTTATGCAAGATTGACAGGAAAGCCGCAATGCGTGATCGTACATGTCGACGTCGGCACCCAGGGTCTCGGAGCTGCCGTGCACAATGCCTCCTGCGGGCGTGCACCAGTTCTAATCTTCGCGGGTCTATCCCCATTCACGCTGGAGGGCGAGATGCGCGGTTCCCGCACCGAGTACATCCACTGGATCCAGGACGTGCCTGACCAAAAGCAGATTGTCTCGCAGTACTGCCGCTACTCGGCGGATATCCGGACAGGGAAGAACATTAAGCAGATGGTTCACCGGGCGTTACAGTTTGCCACGAGTGATCCCAAGGGGCCTGTTTACCTTGTTGGAGCACGCGAGGTCATGGAGGAGGAGATCCAGCCGTATAGAGTTAATCCGCATGCGGCAATTGGGGTGGCGCCTTCGGCGCTCCCTTCAGAAGGGGTTGAGCTTATTGCGTCTGAGCTTGCTGCGGCAAAAGAACCGCTGGTTATTGTGGGGTATTCTGGACGTGAAGCTCGAGGGGTGAAGGAGCTGGTGACCTTGGCGGATACGTTCAAAGGCGTTCGTGTTTTGGATACTGGTGGAAGTGATATGTGTTTCCCGGGAGACCACCCTGCATCATTGGGGATGCGCTATGGTTTGCATGATGCCATCAAGACAGCAGATCTCATTCTTGTGGCTGATTGCGATGTGCCCTGGATACCCACGCAGTGCAGGCCCTCAGAATCTGCCAAGATCATCCACGTTGATGTTGACCCCCTCAAGCAGCAAATGCCCGTTTTCTATATCCCTGCCATTGCAACTTTCCGCGCCGAGTCGGCAACTGCGTTCAAGCAGGTCAATGAATACGTCTCATCCAACGAGCGATTAAAGCAGGTGGTCAACTCAGAGGGAAACACAACAAAAGGGAAAATCCGAGAAGAGGAATTCCGCAAAGCACGACGTGCTATAACAGCGCTCGCAGTAACACCACCAGGCGGCGACGAAGCAGCTCTGAATGCCCCCTATCTCATCAGCCAGATCCGAAAAGGCTGCCCAATCGACACTCTCTGGGCGATCGAGTCCGTAACCCTCACACCAATCGTCTCCGACCAGATCGCAGCTACAATCCCGAACTCTTGGATCAACTGCGGTGGTGGTGGTCTGGGTTGGTCAGGCGGCGGGGCATTAGGGATGAAGCTCGCAACAGACGTAGAGCATGGCGGATCTAACAAAGGAAAATTCGTCTGCCAGATCGTCGGAGATGGAACATACCTCTTCTCCGTCCCAGGATCCGTGTACTGGATTGCACGAAGATACAATATCCCGGTGCTGACGATCGTTCTGAACAATAAAGGTTGGAACGCGCCGCGGAAGAGCATGCTGCTGGTGCACCCCCATGGAGACGGGTCACGCGCCACGAATGAAGACCTCAACATTTCGTTCGCACCTACCCCTGACTACCCCGGAATCGCCAAGGCAGCGTCTGGAGGACATATCTGGGCGGGTACTGCAGCCACGGTTGCCGAGCTGGGTAAGCTGCTCCCGGAGGCTATTCAGAGTGTGTTGAATGGGACGGGCGCTGTTTTGGAGGCCCAGCTGGACGGGAGAACTGGCAAATATGTCGCGAACTCGTAGAAAGACATAGATTTGTTGCCATATACCAGCTAGTTAGTATATTGCGTTTCCCATAACATACAGAATCACGCGCACCCCGCAGGCTGACTTTGGAGGCGATAAGAGGCCGATGCCGGGAGTAGCCTTATCTATGCGTAGTGGGGTTAGGCATGTGGTGGTCGAGTTGCGTAATTATATTTCATGTATCTTTGCATTTTGTATTGATTGCGGAGTACCCTACTATAAGATCGTCCTTGGTATTGCTGAAGGTGGCCGGCATAGGTTGAGAACATATGTACAACCATGATCTCACTGGCTCAGATCTCATCTAGATATTGGCAGATTTGCTTATTTGTCCTTGCACCTGGCAGCACTCCTACACAGGTAGAGCCGTTGGTACTACGGCTGTATCGCCATACAAACCGGAAATGTTCGATACGGCTTGTCCAACTGTGCTCCACGCCTCACGCCCTTGCGGTGATTCCAGTTACATTCTGATTCAAAGCGACGAACCAAAGTCCGCGCCACCATCTCCAATTAGATAACAAAAACTTAGCTCGCGATTCAAGGAGGCATTGCCTCATTCACCCTCCTCTTGCGATCTGCGGGGTGTCCGATTTAAAAGATGGCGGCCGACCGGCCTACATCTGCCGTCGTCGGAACCGCTCCACTATTCACAACCAGAAAAAAACATCTTCGACTCACCAAACCCTCTTTTGACGACTGCAGTCTCGCTCGCGCATATCTACTTTATAATCACACCTTGGTCAAGAAGCGCTCGCGTTCGAACCTTAACACCTGCCACCTCTCTCGTCTGCCCCTCACACCGAATAAGCTCTGAAGTACAAAATGTCGCCGCCGGCTGCTTTGGATGTGGATGCGAACGGCAATGGCGTTCCCAAGCCATTAACAGTCGATGGGATCGCCGCTGTCAGAGCGCAGAGCGCCAAAATGCCTCCTGGTGTTGCGCCGTCCACCAGCAGCGATATGTTCAAGAGTCCGGTGAGTTTCGCCTGAGTACGATGGTCTTCACAAATTGAGTGGAAGCTAAACTGGGGTGCGCATTGGTAGGCCTGTTACACCAAACCGAAGGCGAAGAGGTTCGATGGTACGTTTCTTGTGTTCGGGTAGCGGCCTGTTGATTGTACGGTTGTCGCTAACGGAATGGTCTATAGATCTGTTGACGCTTGAGGCAAAGGCACGCAAGGTGTCGACATTGAAAGGCGCGGCGAGATACTTGAAGAACCCAGGTAAGAGATTGTTACGCTTTTTGGGGTTATAAATAGATAACTGACATTGTTTCTTCTTCAAGGGCTCATTTCTTTGGGTGGCGGACTCCCTTCCCCAGAATACTTTCCGATTGAAGAGGTCTCGGTCAAGGTCCCTACTCCACCGAAGTTCTCTCACGATGCTGCCGGAGATTCCTTGGTTGCGGGAAAATTTGATATTCGCGAGGGAAAGAGTTTGTATGATCTAGAAGTCTGTCTGAACTACGGACAGGCCACGGGGTCTCCTCAGTTACTCAGATTCGTGACGGAACACACCGAGGTGCGTTGAAAATACGTGTGCGAAGATAGGGCGATAGCTAACAATGAGTAGCTTATCCACAACCCTCCCTATTCCGATTGGCAATGTTGTTTAACTGCAGGCAGCACGTATGCCTGGGACACAGCTCTTCGACTGCTTTGCGAGAGAGGAGACTACCTTTTGATGGAAGAATATACATTTTCTAGTGCCCAGGAAACCGCCCTTCCTCTGGGGGTCAAGGTGGCACCGGTCAAGATGGACGAACAGGGTCTCTTGCCCGATGCGCTCGATGACGTTATGAGTAACTGGGATGAAACGGCTCGCGGTGGTCGGAAGCCTCGTGTGCTCTATACTATCCCAACGGGTCAGAACCCCACAGGTGCTACCCAGTCTCTGGAGCGCCGCAAGGAGATCTACAAGGTCGCGCAAAAGCACAACATTTACATCATCGAGGACGAGCCGTACTACTTCCTGCAAATGCAGCCATACACAGGAGCGAACAGCGAGCCGGTGCCCCCTCCTGCCAACCACGAACAATTCCTCAAGTCGCTTATCCCGTCGTATTTGAGCCTTGATGTTGATGGACGTGTTCTTCGCATGGAATCATTTTCGAAGGTTCTAACACCCGGCTCTCGCACTGGCTGGATTGTCGCCTCTGAGCAGATCGTAGAACGCTTCATCCGAAACACAGAGGTTTCGGCCCAGCACCCAAGCGGTATTTCCCAGTTGATCATCTTCAAGCTTCTGGATGAACACTGGGGCCACACTGGGTACCTTGACTGGCTCATCAACCTTCGCATGGAATACACAAGCCGCCGGAATATCATCGTCCAGGCTTGCGAGAAACATCTCCCACAAGAAATTTCTAACTGGATTGCCCCCGCCGCGGGCATGTTTGTAAGTTTCAAACCTAGTTCTGACAACATGCAGGTATAGCAATAACTAACCGAATTTCGCAGCACTGGGTCGAAGTTGACTGGAAGAAACACCCCGAAATCACATCTGGCAAGACCCGCGATGCCATCGAAGAAGCCATCTTCGAGGCTGCTGTCAGTAACGGCGTCCTTATCTCCCGCGGAAGCTGGTTCAAGGCCGCTGGACGGAGCGAGGAGAGGATGTTCTTCCGCGCCACATTCGCTGCTGCCAGCGAAGAGAACATCACAGAAGCTATTAAGCGGTTCGGGGCCTCGCTGCGCGCTGAGTTCAAACTATAGATTATACTACACTGTAGATACAATCCCTAATATGCATGGCCTCCGCGGTTGTCAATACCCCCAGCCGAGTCCTATAGATAGCAACGCTTATAGCGATATTTAATGAACCCAAATGTCGGTCTCATTGAACTAGATACGTTGCTAACAGTATTTGACATATTTCATTGATTCTGTGGTTTCCGTAATCCAAAACTTCTTTAGCTTAGATTGGCGACCACCAGGAATCCGAAATGGAGGCACCGACTATGTACGGAGACGACTCTTCTTTCATAGGAACAACCGGATGTTAAAATTGGCCGCTCGAGCCGAAACTGCTGATATAGTCTAGAATTAGATCACCTGACTCACAACCAATTTGATGAAGACTTTTATCTCAAGCTATCTCTTTCAAAATATCTCTCTCTACCTTTTTAGACATCTTGGACATGTAGAAGTTATGTAATCAACACTCTTGGATAACTAAAGGTTGTGCACCGTTCGCTCTGATTTGCCCCTGATAGCGCTAAATTAGCGGAGTGGGTTCTTGGCGGCGCCCAGACTGACTCCAGAGTTCAACACATGGAACTTTCCAATGTTCGATATTATTGTTGTTCCAGCCCACCACCACTATATCGCGCTACTAAAAGCACACCCAGGAATGCGTTGGACATACACCCGATGCAGCTGTGCGGTATCAGATATCTCAGCTCGGATTGGAGGTCGGATTTGAAGCGCAAATTTCCACGATTATAGGCCGCTGCAGGCGGCTGGCTTTGGCACGAACATTCGACTTGGTCCTGGCTTTATCGGGATTTGCGATTTGTCGTGGCGCGAAGGCTGCTCTTTAAGTGCAGTGATTTTGTAAGCTTGGGAGCTGGTGACTGCCTGGCCTCATTGTTTTTCGACCTCAAGTGCGAGGCTGTCTAGCAGCCATCTCGAAACACGCTCCTCGTCCTGCTTGGACAAGAACTGACTCGTGTTGAGTCCTTTTGTTCGAGCTTCTTTTCGAGTACATACTTGACTACTGTGAGAAAGGGGAGTCCGCAGTGTTTCGCTTGGGCTCTTTTCTACCTGCGGAACTGCCTAACCAGTATCACTTTGAAACATCAATACTTGGCTCAACGTCGTCATCATCTAATATCGACAAACTTCATTCGCAAGTGTCCTTCTCTATATCCTGAAGTATTACGTGCGGGTCTTCCTTTTTACGCCGAGGATTTTACCATTTTTGTGAGTGTGGAAGGGTAAATTATACTTAACTGCACCATGGAGGCTCCTCGAACGTCCCGTTTCCTGGACCCCACGTCCGCTATGGCTGCCATCACGAAGCACAAAGCAGAGGCCATCAAGCTAGCTCGTGAGCAAGGCATTGCGGTTCGTGAGATGTGTCGCAGAGCAAAAACAGAAACACCGGCATACGAATTTGAAGAGCTCATCGGGAAGGGTGCCTATGGTCGCGTGTACAAAGGCCACCAACTCCCATCTCGAGACGTTGTCGCTATTAAGGTTCTTGATATCGACTCATTAGATTACAAGTCGGTGCGCGACTTTAAGGATGAGTCTATCAAGGATTTCATTCACGAAACGAAGGTTATGAAACAAGTTAAAGATTCCGGAGCGAAGAATATCAACGAAATTATCGAGGCCGTTTCCATTCATTCGCAACTCTGGTTGGTGTGCGAATATTGCCCTGGTGGTAGTGTTAGGACTCTGGTAAGTGTGGCTCATTTTACCTAGAATCAACCCAGGAGACCCTGTCACTAACGGCCCAAGATGCGAGCAACTGGTGATAGATTAGAGGAGAAATTTGCCATCCCGGTAGCCCGCGAGCTGGCTGCTGGATTACGTGCTATACATGATGCAGGCATCATTCACAGAGATATAAAAGGTATGCTTCCTCTCACTTTGGACGCCCAGAAATAGATACTCTGCTAACCTCGAATTCTAGCTGCCAACGTTCTTATCCATGAGGAGGGTAGGTTACAAATATGTGACTTCGGTGTTGCCGGTGTTCTCCAATCCCATATGGATAAGCGATCGACCTGGATTGGCACCCCCCACTGGATGCCACCAGAAATGTTCAGTGCTGGCCAAGGACATCAGTACAGTAGCGAGGTTCGTAAAACTGATTAAACCGCATCATGTGGCGTGTGACTAACCGCAGTAGATTGATGTCTGGGCATATGGGTGTACAATTTTCGAAGTCGCCACAGGAAACCCACCAAATGCCAATTTACGAGAGAGAATGCAGATCGGCAGGCAACTGAATAGGAAGACGCCACAGCTGGCAGACAGTGATAG